CAAAAATCTGCCACGAGAAAGATGATCCTTGGGCACAGATTTCTCATACAAAGCAACATAACCAAGAAGACAGCCATTTTTTAAGGCACTGAAAGAAAACAAGTGACAACATTGAATTGTCAGCAAAAATATGTTTTGAAAAAAAACAACGGGAAGACTTTTTCAGAAACATCAAGATTAAAAGAATTCATTATCCGCAGGCCAGCATTCAAAGAAACAGGAAAAGCAGTTCTTCAAGAATACTGGATGGGGTGATTAAATTTATACAAAGGAATAGCACTGCACTGTCCTCCCGTTGTTCATTGATTTGCTCGAGCGGGCCCAGTAACATCTCCATTGTGAGACTTGTGTTACTGTGTTTGGCATATGAATACGTCACAGGTAGCTTGCCAGGCTTTGCCATGTGGGTGAAATACTCTCAGTAGCTTGCCGGACTCTCCGAGAGGGGCAGAAGAATTGAACCTGGCTCAGCCCAGTCGGCCGCGTGCAAGGCCATACGGCTGTGCCTCCAGTCCAACAAAGGAATAAACGCTAGAAAAAGATAATGGTTGGAAAAAAGATGATGGATCAAATCCCTTTAAAAGTAAATGTTTCAGAGGGCTGGAGAGATAGTAGAAAATAAGATGCTTATCTTGCACAAGGCAATCCCCAGTTTCATCCTGGCACCCATATAGTACCCCCAGCACTACCAGGAATGACTCTTGTGCAGAGCCAGGAGGAAACCCTGAGGCACAGCAGAGTGTATATGGGAATGGAGGGAGTTGCAAAAAAATATTTTAACTAAAATAATGCAGTGCAGGCTTACGTACATGTAAATAAAACATATGCCAATAACACTGAGACTTGTTCCTGAGACAAGCAAGTCTGATCAGGGTGAGATAAAGATAAAAATCTCTGGGGGGGGCGCTGGAGCGATAGCACAGTGGGTAGGGCGTTTGCCTTGCATGCAGCTGACCCAGGTTCAATTCCCAGCATCCCATGTGGCACCCCTGAGCACCGCCAGAAGTTACTTACTAAGTGCAAAGCCAGGAGTAAGCCCTGTGCATCGCCGGGTATGACCCAAAAAAGAAAAAAAAATTACAACTTGGAACAAGGGTTAGAGAGATAGTACAGCAGTTGGCACCCCATAGGTTTCCCCCAAGCCCCACCATGAATCTGAGCATCACTGGGTGTGGTCCCTAAACAAACATACAACAAATCTCAGGAATAAAACCTCAACTAAAACTAAAGCTAGTTTGGGGAGGCAGAGGAAGAGAGGGGCTCCCTAGAGGTACAAGGGAGCCGAGGCCCACTCCTGGGGACACTCAACCCACTAGTTCAGGTTTCGTGGTCAGGCTCAATGATCAGGGCTATAGTCAGTGATGCTTGGGACATGGGGAAGAAAGGGACATGCAGTGACAGGGATCACACTCAGAGCCTGGCCCATTCAAGGCACACACTCCAGCCCTGGCTCTTAGAAAAACTTCGAGAAATACAATGTACAACTTGATTTCACTTGTGAAGACAGAAAACAGTGAATTTTTAAAGAAAGATCTAAATCATGCCAACTCCTGAGAAAGTAGAAAACTTGAACACATGAAGATGGAAAAAATTTTTTTAACTATTTTTAAGACCCAGATAGTTGTGTTTGCAATAAGACTTTTTCCCAACTTTTCTTTCGGGGCCACACCCAGCAGAGATCAGTGCTCAGGGATTGTACCCAATAGTCCTTGAGGAACCACATGGTATCAGGGATCAAACCTGGGGCTACTACATACAAGAAATGGACTCCAGCCCCGGCCCAATAAGTCTTAAAGACAACCCTTGTAATATTCAAATTCCTCCCCACATACAAGCAGTTTATTGCTTCATTCTACAAAACTAGCAGAACCATCATTCTAAAACCAAGTTAAGATAATTTTAAGAAAGTGTCTTGAATTTTAGAACCAAAACAAACATTTGAGGAACATGGCTGGAAGAGTTAGAACACGGGCGAGGCACTTGTTTTTGCCAAAATGTGCAGAGATGCAAGAGAAAGGAAGAGATTTGGAAGAGAGCAGTTTCTCTTTGAAACAATTCGTGCACAAGGCAGTCTGCCAAACAAGGATTTGAGAAAGCAAGAAGGCAAGACTCGGAAAGCAGCGCCAAGAGTGACCCGAGCACAGCTGGTATGAACCAAACACCAAGGAAAAAAAAAATAGTAAAAAAAAAATTTTTTTTTTGAGAACAAATTGAAGCAATACTCTGATATTCAGATATTCAATTGTAACAATCAATGGAAGGCTAGCTCAGGATTAGAAACACCTACCTGACAAAAAGTAGTTTATGGAACCAGGCAGATAGCTCAAAGAGGAGCACAGGCTTCAGACACCTAAGACCCCAAGTTCTGGCACTGCATCGCGCACCCCCAGAACCATTCGTCAGCCCCGGGCACCCCACCACCTCCAAGTCCGAAGCCAATACTCCCAGTACATTTCTATTAAAGCTCTTTCAATTTTTAAATATTTTTGTCTAATCACCAAAAATGACTATTATGTATGTCAGACATTGAATATCAGCAATTCCAGAGCAGAAAAAGTGCAGACTCTCAGGATCAGACAGTCCAAGGTTTATAGTGCTTGCCTTACACATGGCCAATCTAGATTCAACATCTGAAACCACATATAACCACCAACCACCACGTCAGGTGTGGCCCACCTCCCTCCCTCCAAATGTGTTATATATGGGCTCCGTTTTCATGAAGGCATCTGGAGAAAAACTGAAAACTCTCTAGAGAAAAATAAAGGGCCCAGGAATGCAACCAGTGGTTTGCATGCGCTTGATATGAGGACACGGGTTGCATCCCCAGCAGCACAAAATATATTTGTTAAAAAATAGAAATAGTGTGGGTTGTCGGGGAGGGAGGGCACCCGGAGAGTGGTGAAGGGAAGCAGACACTCTAGTAGAGAGAGTGGTGCCGGAAGGGTGTACCCACGAAACCCTATCATGAATGGCATTCAAAATTCTGGTACAGAAAATAAAAATTTCAAAAAGTACTGCAGAGGATATGAGTAAACATCAAATAAACAAGTAGGGCCAGAGATAATATAGTGAGTAGTTTGTTTGCCATGCGTGAACTGGGGTTCAACCCCTGGCATTGCATATGAGCACCACCAGGAGTGAACCCTGGGCCCTGCTGGATGTGGCCTCCCAAAATGAAATATAGTAATATAGAACTAAAATGATAGTTGTAATATGATGTAAAGGCTGTGAACAGAGAAATGCATGGTGTTTTGAGAGCACCCCAGTTTAAGACATCTGCCGTGCGTTGTTGGTACCGTTAGGTAACTGCCGTGTGCCTCACTGGGGGTGGGGGGGGAGGGTTATGCAACATAAAAATGTGATGGGTGGTTGGGCACAGCATCAGGAGCATGCCCTAAGAACCACCAAATGTGTAGCAAACAAAAACCCATACATTTGATGGAAGGGCTGGGAGATGGCTCCAAGCTGAAACATGTGCCAATCCTCAGTACATGTCCCCCAATGGGGAAGGAGCTGTTCCTTAACTCAGTAGGATATGCCCCTCTACACACACATACACACACACACACACACACACACACACACACACACACACACACAGTCTCTCTGGTTGGGTTGGGGCACATGCTTTGTATGTGGAAACCCTGATTCAATTCTCAACACCACAGGCTCCCCCAAATGCCAAGTGCAATCTCAGAGCACCAAACTAGGAGAATGCTCAAGCACTGCCAGATGGCCCTAAAAACAAACCAGAATAGAAAAAATGGAGTCAAAGATCTTTGGATCCCAATGTGCTACGCAGGTAAGGGTAAGATAAAGGTCAAAAGGGTTTGGAAACTACCAGGTTAAACAGCTTTCTCGCAGGTAGGACTTGCCAGAAGCACTAAGTGTCACTCTTGGTCACTTGCCAATCCAGTGCGTAAGCACTGACGGCAGAGCCCTCATGCCCGGGGCAGAGGCTCCTCTCCCTCCCACACCACTTCTTCCTTCCTACTCTGGCAGCTCTGCACTCACAGGCAAACTGTCTCACTAACAGAAGCCAATTTCTTGAAGCTGTCTGGTGTTCTCCCTTTACACCAAACATTTGCTTACTTTGGTTTCTTCCAACCAGGAGAGACTAAAGTGAAAGAATCTATGGAACTTCACAAAGGGACTCCCAAGGCCTTTTTTTTTTCTTCCTAAACCAGGAACCCAAGAGAATGAGGATAAAGGACCTGACCCAAAGGTCAATCACACAGTTTTCTTAGTGATGTCCACAAATGCTTCCAAATACTATCGGATAGGTAAGACGCCTGACTCAACTGGAAGCAAACCTTTCCATTCAACTGCCCAAGCAAACGAAATGTTCATCTTAACTCGGCTGAGCCATTCATTAGATCGCTTCATTTAATCTAACTTTGCAGAAATCCCTAGAAACCAGGGAGGGAAACTAAATTAGCTTATAGCGATTCAAACTTCCATCCACTCATAAGTGAAAAAGCAAATGCTCCAATAAAAAGGATCTGTACAATCTGGTATTTTAGCATGCTCTTGGGTTAAATAATTAACCTTAGGACACTAGGGCAACTGCTGACTCCAGGTAGGCCGTGAACCTTTTGTGTCCAAGAATTCTCTGAGGCAGTGGTGTTTAAAAAAAAAAAAAAAAGACGCACCTGCCTATGTTTCCAATATATTAAAAAGCAACACATTACGGTACAAATGCTGAGAATCTGAAATCTTTTGAGGTGTAATTTTTTATAAGCAAATTATGTAATGAAAGGAAAATGGCTATTTTGGTACAGAGGAGTGCTGTTAAACAAGATTTTTAAATCTTTAAATCAGAAAATGTTTAAGACAATTCTTTCAAAGGTAATCTGTATAATCACTAGAGCTAAATCTGTCCTTGTACATATATCCTGGGCTCTCTGAAAAATGTTAGAAAGTTTGAAGTTTATGTGAAAGAGGCAGCAATTCAAGGTTTCACAAACCTTTTTCCCCATAAAAAGTAGACTTTCAGTAAAACATTTTACCATTTTATCTGAAAACACATTTTTGTTCTTCACCAAAGGAGGAATTACCTAACACTATTTTTTAATGTTAAAAAAATTCCATTTAGATATTCAACTTCCTGAGTGATTTCAATCAGACATCAAACATGATTAATACGTTTTAAATTTTGGAATAAAACAATGTGTAGATTTATATTTTCAATTAGAGTTCAACTCGAGAGCATGGCATAAAACTTAAATTCTCTAAGTTATATGTCATTTCTCCCAAACTGACCAATAAGCTGTCTCAACAAAATGTAAAATGATTCACTGAAACACTATTTTCTCACTTAACAAAATACTGAGTTATTTCAGACTATAAACTTTTCTATTGTAGACCCCAAAATCTGAATCACTAACAAGAAACCTCCTGCAATACAAAAAGATAACAATTAGTTAAAATATTTGCTTTATAGTACAATAGACCTATACACTAGGATTTCTTCCTCAATTGCTTAAAATGATTAGGAACAGTGGCATTTTCATTTGCATTTCCCTTTCCTCTTCCAAAAAACCCTGAGGTGAAAGGTTATTAATGTCAGTGAAACTGGAACCACGGTTCTTCTTCTTTATGTATTAGTCTGTAGCTACAGGCTATTCGAATTTTATCAGGGAAGGTGGCAACTTGTCAGGCTGCTCTGGATGGTTCTTCGACAAAATACTTCCAGACCAACATTGCCCAAAGGACCTAGAATGACCCTGCCACGTGTCTTTTTGTCACTGTTAGTGTCTAGATGAGCGCCATTTCCCATCTCTACTACTGTCTCTTCTCATGTCATAGTCCTGACTCCAGCCATCGTGACTCCTATCTTCATAGAAGAAATCCTCTCTGCTTCCTCGGTAATGGTGGTCGGGGCCATGCTCAGTGTACCGGGGCTCGCGATCGCTGTAGCGCTGCTCACAGTCAGGGTACCGCTGCTCACGACCATAATGTCTATCTGCTACGTAGGGATGAGAACTCTGTCTGACTTTACGCTGCGCTGCTGCTGGATCCTGGCGCCACTGGGAGCTCGAGGACTGGTTAAAAGTAAGATTGTGGGACTGAACTGATGGGGAAAATCCTGACTGATCCAGATGTGGAGAACCAAATTTCCCACCATATGACATCTGTCTCAAAACACTGTTCATCTGAGGAAAAAAAAAAGGGGGGGGGAATATTTTGATATTTCTACACAGCAAAGCCAACAGGTATTTTTGTCAATTTACCAGATTAAAAAGGAAAAACAAACAAACCAAAAAAAAGCATTCCTGCCTTCATTTAAGTTAAACGGACTTCAAAGTAGTGCAACCCAAAAGCTTTGCTCATTCCAATACATACCTATAAGTTATCTGCATGCCATTACTCCTTGTTGCCAAGAATATAACCCAGAAGGGAAGTCATGCAAACTGATTATAATGCAAAACACTGTGATAAACATACACGAAAAAGAGTATACGACGTATCATTAGCGATCTTTCATGAAAGCAAAGTATAAATCAGAGAATTAAGATTATGCATCTAAGATTTAAAAGAACCAGTAGAGAAGCTGGAGAGTATAGGAGTTAAGCATTGCACAGGTCTGACCCCAGTTTAATCCAAAGGATTGCACGAGGGCTCCCCGAGCTCTGCTGGGGTTGATCCCTGAGCACAGAGCCAGGAGTAAGCCCTTAGCACTGCCACATGTGACACATTCCCCTCTGGGGAAACTTTTTTTTTTTAAATCAAAGGATGTATAGAACTTTTTAAGCGTTTGGTATACCAAGGAAAGAAGAGAACTGTAGAGGCCAAACAGAATGGATTCACGTAACCCTGAAGGGGAAAAATTATAGAGCTCATAAGCAGTGAATCAACGGAAACAGAAAGGCTTACTAGAATCAGGTAACAAAAATCCCTATGACCTAGACTACAATTTTTGACTTTAACTTCCAAACCATGAAACTCTGGGAGGTTAAACAAGGTTAGAGCCTTGATGTTAAAATGGTGTAAGGGGCAAGAGCAATGGCACAGCTGGTAAGGCATTTGCCTTACACGTGGTCGACCAAGGTTGGATCCCTGGCATCCCATATGGTCCCCAGAGCACTGACAGGAGTTATTCCTGAATACAGAACCAGGAGGAACCCCTGAGCATTGCTGGGTGTGGCCCCAAAGCCAAAAAATAAACAAGGCATGAGATGAATGAGTAAAGGTAAAAACAGAGGTGGGTGGCCGCTTACTAGACCAGTGGCTCCCAAATTCTGCCTACATGTAGAGATATTGGCTGTTGATGTTTTTAAAATGGTACGGGGAGGCTTGCAGTGAGGGAGAAGCAATATGTATATGTATGGTATCTCTGAATGGGTTTTCAATTTTACTTGATTTACTCATATGTTAACTTTACTGTAGCACTGTCCTCCCACTGTTCATCGATTTGCTCGAACAGGCCCAGTAACGTCTCCATTGTGACACTTGTTACTGTGTTTGGCATATCGAATACGCCATGGGGAGCTTGCCAGACTTTGCCGTGTGGGCGAGATACTCTCGATAGCTTGCCGGGCTCTCCAAGAGGGGCAGAGGAATCAAACTCGGGTTGGCTGGGTCGGCCACGTGCAAGGCAAACACCCTACCTGCTGCGCTATTGCTCCGGCCCATTAACTTTACAGACCCTCAAAATACAAAAGACACAAATGTCACAAACCAACTGAGATTTCGGCAAAAAGAGGAAATGGAAAAACAAAAATCAATGTTAAGTAAAAGCTTTACATGAAGGACATTATGACTGGACACAAGATGAAACAGCCAAAGGTACCTCATACTTTAAGGCTGCCTTCTGGTAATATTAGAAAAATGGCAAGTTTGAGAGGGAATTGGTCCCAAGGACTACAATATCTTAAAACACAAAACTCTTGTCACTCAGCGTTAAGTTGTAAAAATGTTAAAAACTGAACTTTCAGTACTCCACCTTCTAAGAACTGCTAGAAAAAAAAAAGTAATAGTTTGTAATTTTTAAAATTTAAGCTTGATGAAAACTAAAATCTAAGGATCATGCTAGCCTAACTGCATTTAAGAATTTAATCATACAAAAAATGCAATTAGGTAGATTTTTGCCTTTTTTTTTTTAAAGCAACTTCAGTTAAAAAAAAAAAATCAACCTACCACTGCTTGTCTCTGAAAATTTTCTGGAGTTGAGAAAGATCTCTGAATTATCTGTGCTGAAGGGGACATGTTATCCACAGTCCTTTCATACCTGTGAAGAATAAGCAAACCAACAATCATTCATTCACCAAATATTTACCATTTGGCAATCATGAGAAATACACCAAAGGCAGAAATGAACAAGACTTCTGTGAGCTGCTCCCACAGGGATGGGGGAAGGAAACAGTTTCACATGATCACAGGAATATAAAGGAGGAATGAAGAATTAAGGACAAGTGAGAGGGAAGGGGCATTATTCTACCTTGCCAGTTCCTGGTTCCTTCAGATCTGACCTTTCCGAAAAGGACGGAATTAGAGCAGGAGCTGCATAACAGGATTACCAGGAGGCAAAACACTCACCCAAGGGAAGGACTCTAAAACCTCAGTACAGACTCAAGCAAACTAGAGCCCAGAGGGCCAAAGGGCCAGATCATCAAGTTGTATGGGAACACAGCCATGCTCTCCCCTCCCCAGCATTGTTCAGGAAATGCTACAATGCCAGAGAAAAGAACTGTGTGACCCATGAAGTCTGGCCTTTGGGAGGGGGAAATCTGTGAATCCCTCCATTAACGTAAAGGCTTAGATTTAGAAACTGAAAAGGATCTGATTGGATATACGATGAGTGAGGAAAAGATTATCCCTCTAACAAAAGTTAGAATGTAGATTTGGCATTTGAGCAACTGAGTAGTTACTACTGTAAGAAGAAAAAGGCATGAGAGATAAGGAACTAAAATTTCTGCAACATACACGGGATAGCCATTTGTAGGACTGAAAGCTTATGGCCCATTTCCTATGTGCTAGAGGAAAACCTCTTAAGAAGGATGCTACATACACCTTTTTTACAATATTACTTGCTTATAATTTCACCTTCCTCTATCTTTTCACCTCTGTTCATCTCCTTCCAGCCAGCTCTTGTCACTCCGAACCCAGACCATACAATCTACCGCAACCAATAGCTTCTTGATTGGTCTACTTTCACTCTCACCTTCTCTTATCCAATGCCCTGTTCCAACTGACAATTCTTCCGTGCATATCTGATCTGATCACTACCCAACCGAAAACATGTCAACATCCTCCTACTGCTCAAGTTCCCAAATACTAATTATGGCTTAAAAAAAAAAAAAAAGCCTGAACCATCCAATATTTACTATTTACTTCTAGGACATCACCAATCACACTCCATTTCTCCTGTGGTATAATCTAGGAATACTGGCCTCTTAGAGTTCACTCAAGTGACTTCTTTAGAGAACTCTAGTATGCATCGTCCTCCAGACCAACGGCTCCCCGGGACGGATGGTTGCCGCACACCACACCATCCCAATTTGAATCCCAGCTCCACCGTTTGTGAGCAATCCAACTTGACTAAGTTCCCTCCCATTCTCAATTTCTTTACATAAAAACTAAATATAATAGCTCTGATATGTCTCATACAACTGCCTCAAAGAATAAAGGAGATGACGAGATGACCAATGCAAAGGACTGGGCGAAGCGGCTGAAACGGGACAGTTAACTCTTTCTCAGGTGAAGGCAGTTATACAGCTCTCAGACTGAGCAGGCAAAACCTGTCAGCGATAACCAATTACCTTCCCCCACGCAGAGAAAATTATAGACGCAAAAGCACCTTTTCTTTCTTTCCTTTTTATTTTTTGGGGCTACACCTGGCAGTGATTCCTGGCTGAACACTCAGGGATCATCCCCTAGACGTACTATGGTGACGGGAGTTAAACGCAGGTAGGCTGCAGGCAAGCAAGGGTCCTACCCTCTGTACCGTCGCCCCAGCCCCTGACTGCATTTTTTCTAACCCTCAGCAGCCTGCTGAGATTTTATAGATAATGCCACTTTTCATTACAAATGAAAGGACGGAATCAGAGAAAAAGACTCTAACTTGAAATTACGCAACTAGAGGCCAGAGCAATACAACAGCTGGGGGTCGAGCAGGTAGGGCCCTGGCTTAGATCTCAGACCCCAAGCCATGCCCCCTCCCCAGGCCCCCTGGGTTATCTGCTGGCCCTCAGGGGTAAGCCCAGAGCACCGTAGGGTGTGGCCCAAAACAAAATTTACACAACTGATAACAGGCTTAGAGGCGGTTCTAGCTCCAGGGATCTAACTCGACAAACTTAATGCAACGGAAATGTTTACAGTACAAGTCACAACCAGTTGGTGGCCATGAAACTAGCATACTTTTTTAAGAGAGAAAAGAAGTTCCGTGGCAAGGAGTCAGCATAAGACAGGAATGAGAAATCTTGCTTCAGTCCTATGCCGCTGATGTGCAGGTGATTTAAAAACGTAAGTGATACTCACGTTCCTAACTTAGGAGACCATAAAATGGCCTGTAGTTCCCTTGGAATACAAAAGGTAAATGGAATCCAAGAGAGGAATCACAGATTATGACATAGAAGATACCAGGGCGTTCTGGGATGAACGTGAGAAAATTCCCAGTAAATGTGACAATTAAAGAGGTAAGAAATATTAATTACCTGCTAGGAGATGTGGAGGTGGGGCTTGAATTTCCAACGAGATGTTGGGGATGCTGCGACAAACTGGCATCCTGTGATGCATGGCTACTTCCTAGAATACAATAACCGGGAAATGTCTTCAGGACGCCCCCCCCCAATCCCACCCCCCGGTGGTGGGTCCACCACTGCCCCCCAACACCGCAGCAAACCTCACCCTCCCCCCCCACCCAAAAAACAAAAACAAACAAAAAAAAAAAAAGCACGACCGCCTAGTTACCCGATCTAAACTGAATCTTGATCGGCCGTCCGAAAAGTTTTATCCCGTTCAGCAGATTCATGGCGTAAGGGACGGAGACTTCGTGCTTGAAGTTCACGAACGCGAACTGCTTGGGTTTCCCGTCCTTGTCCTTGGGGATTTTCACTTTGACCACCGGCCCGGCCTGCGGAACAAGAACCGGGTTTGGGGAGTTTCAGGGAGGCCAGCCCAGCCATCGCGCTCCCCGTTTCCGCCTTCCTAAACACAACAAGGCCTCAAAAAATAAATAAATAAATGAATAAATAGACAAAAACGAAGAGGAGGAGCGGAAAGAAACGTCGGCAGGCATTCCTTCAAAAACGCAGCAACAACAACAACGGCTGCTCCAGGACTGCCGTCCAGACCCAAATCAAGACCCGGTCCGGGGACCACGGAGTCACTTCAGCGGAACTTGGGGCGCTTCTTCGGGGGGTCGGGGGCTGGCGAGGGGGAAGGGGGAAGCCCCGGCCCATAAAGGGGCAGGAACCACCCCCCGTCGCCCGCTTCTAAGCCCGCCGCGCGCCGAGACCGACGCCACCCTCGGCCGCCGCTTCCGGGGCCGCTTCCGGGCTCCCCGTCAGGCGGGCGCCGGGCCTAGCGGCGGCGGCGGCGGCGGCGGCGGCTCCCCCGAAAACGCCCCCGGGGCCGGGGTCGGGCACCCCCGAGCGTAGGCGCGGGCGAGCCCGGACGCGGGCCCCGTTCCCGGCCCCCCGGCTCGCTCGCTCGCTCGCGGCGGCGCGCCGGCCCGGAGGCGCGGGAGGGCGAGGCCCGGGCCGCCGGCCCCGGCGCTCACCTGGTGGAAGAGCTCGAACAGGAGCTCCTCGGTCACCTTCGTCTCCAGGTTGCCCACGAAGAGCGTGCGGTCCGCCTCGGCCGCCGCCGCCCCCATGGCCGCCGCGCTCGCTCCCGGGAAGGCCGCAGGGTCGCGCCCCGCGCACGCGCGCACGCGCCCACGGCGCCCCCGGCGCGCCCCGGCGTCGGCGACGTCAACGCGCGCCGCGCTCGCTCGCTCGCTCGCCCGCCCGCCGGCGGGGGTGGCCGCGCAAGGCTCGCGAGAGCGCGCGAGAACGGGCGAGAGGCGGCGGCCCTGGCCCTGGCCCCCGCTGGGAGATGGCCCTGGCCGCCGGCGGCGGCGACCGGCGGGACGCGGCGGCCCCCCGCGCGCCTCGCGGCGGCGCTGACCTCGACCCCGCCGCCCTGGCGCTGGCCCTGCTCTCCGGAGACGGCCCGCTGCTGGCCCGGCCCGCGCCCCGCGCCCCGCGCCCGCCCGACCGCCCGCGCCCGCCCGCGCCGCCCCGCGCCGCCAGCCGCCGCCGCCTCCGCCTCGTCCCGGGGAGGGAGCCCGACGCGGGAGTCCGCGGCCGCCGCGCCCGCTTCTCGCCCTACGCGCCCGCCGCGGACAAGCCCGACCTGCTGAGGAGCGTGTTGGAGCGGCGCCTGGCCGCGGCCCGGGGAGCGCCCGCCGCCCGCCCGCCGGCCTGAGCCCGCCCCGGCCCCCCAACAAGGCCTCTGAAACCCGCCTCGGGCCAGCGCTGTCGTCCTTTCGGGAGCCCGCGTGCGCGTTTCCTCGGGCTTGCAACCCACGCCCCGCGGTGGTGTTGGGGGAGGGGGCGCGGAGCCGCCCGCGGGGCTTTTGCCCTCCAGGTGCCTCTCTGGCGCCCAACGAGGGGCTTGGGGACGCGAGGGCACCCACCCCCCACCCCTTCCAGACGGCAGCGATCCCTTTGCGCCCCTCTTCGGGAGGTCCGCGCGACCCCAGGTAGAGATGCTGCCCCTAGATGGGTACCAGTCCCCTCGGCCTGCTGCTGGTATTTCGAGTTCCCTTCTCTGCCTCTTTTCCACGCCAGGCTATTCCGTTTCCCTTCGCTTCTAATTCGCAAAAAAAAAAATCCTCGGGTTTTTTTTTTTTTTCACTTTCCAAATTTCTCTCCTTCCACCCTTGTCCCAACACTGGCTCTCCCATCTAGCCCCTGACCTTCACTCTCTTCCAACGCCTCCGTGTACTTTTTCTTCCTCCTGCAGAGTTACAAACTCCAATCCCAAACCACGCTAAATAAGACCAAAGCAAAATCCGAAATAGACCGTCACACTTTAGAAAAGAGGGAGCTTGCCAACATTTATCTTTGCCAAATGAATTTTACCCTTTTATTTGTCCTGTGATTGCTTGTACTGACCCCCCTGACTTCCTCCATCTCCACACAGTGCCGGGATGTAAGGATGAAGAGCATGGTTTCTTTATCCAAGGAAGCTTCCCCACTCTGGCATCTTAAGCTTCCTGGTTTGTCTTTACTTTTCCAATCTGTCCATGGTATTTGAAGTGCTGTGGGGGCACCCGACTAAGGAATGCCATCCAGGAGAGTAGGAATTGCAGATGCAAAGGTGATGGCCACACCCGACTCAGTGCACTGTTCTGGTTCTTCTCTTACCTGGCCAATCCTTATTGGCTGATATTTCTGGTCTCTGAACCACACATTCCCTGAAAGGTGGAGAGCCATCATATGGGAAGTCTCTGGATTTTATGAATGTCAGTTCTTTTCCCAGAGGAGGCTTGTCTCTAGCTCACAGGTATTACTTACTATACAGCATAAAACTGAACCCGTAGCACCGCAGCTTAAGAAGACAGTTGGTAAACAACGTACAGAATTCCATGAGAGGAGGATTGAGAGATCTGGAGACCAGATCACAAAGAAAATAGTTTGAAGAAATGCCTGTTGAGTGCCTGTGCAGGGCCATGTGCCAGGGAGTTCCATTCTTTGCTTCCTGAGAGACTACCTGTGCCTGCCACTACCTATCCCAAACATTTAAAGGATGGTGTGAATAAAATCTCTGCTGTTCTTAGGAGCTTCCCTCGGGCATTTTTCATTTGATTGCTCAGAAACTGAAGCACAGAGGCAGTGGATAGTACAGGTTAAGGCACTCGCTGCGCATGAGGCTGACCCGAATTTGATTCCCACACATGGTCGCCCAGGACCTGCAGGTTCAAAAATACTTATGCACACAAGTAAATTCGCCAAGGTCATAGAGACAGTAAATAATAACACCCTGCAGCTACACAACCAAGGTTCCTCACTTGGATCATTCCACATGGAAAAGGGTTTGAGTGACCATGCTCTCCACTTCAAGGACAGCTAAATAGAAGTCAATTATATATGATAGGTGCCTTAGGTTGAACATTATGAATACACATTGTTGAGATAGCTCAAACTTGGATGCAATAAATTAGAGATACAAGAGTAAGAAGTCAAAGGAGTTTTGTAAAAACAAATGCCTAATGGATATAATTATAATCAAAGGTAATGAATTGACACAAAAGTTCAGATAGAGGCTAAATCCTTTTAGTGAAATAAAGTCAAATGACTTCTTAGATCTTTCCTAGTCATCCCATGATTGTATACTTAAATAGTAGTCAGAGGGGCCAGGAGGTGGTATAAAGGACAGAAGTGCCTGCTTGTATGCTGGAGTCCCAGGCCCCAATGTCTCCGGCACTGCCAGAAGCAACCCCCTGAGCACCAAACTAGGAGTGGTCCTCCACACCCCTTTCCCCTGCCCAAAAACACCCAAGTGGCCAGGAAGACAGCTCAAGTGATAACACACAGGCCCAACGTGTGAGGCCCTGAGATGGATCCCTAGCGCCTCTTTGTCCCCTGGGCACTGTCTCGTACCTTGGTGGTGTGACCCTATGAAAAATAAACTTGATTACAATTAGAAGTGGAAAATAGGGTGAAGGGACTAAAACCTAAAAAAATGAGTTCTATAGGACCACTGTCACTGTTCTCCCGTTCTTCATCGATTTGCTCGAGCGGGCCCAATAACGTCTCCATTGGAGACTTTGTTGTTACTGTGTTTGGCATATCAAATATGTCACGGGTAGCTTGCCAGGCTCTGCCATGCGGGCGAGATACTCTCAGTAGCTTGCCGGGCTCTCCGAGAGGGGCGGAGGAATCGAACTCCGATTGGCCATGTTGGCTGCGTGCAAGGCAAACACCCTACTGCTGTGCTATCGCTCTAGCCCTAATAGGACCACATTCACTGCAAAAATTTCAGAATCAGGGTGCTATCATGCTGAGACAACAGGCTTAAAAATTTGCAAATCTACAACTGTACCTCATGGTGTCTCACTAATAAAAATTTTTAAAAAGTGGAAAATTGAAAATCAAAATTCAGGGCTGGAGAGATAGCACAGCAGGTAGGGCATTTGCCTTGCTTGCAGCCAACCCGGGTTCGATTCCCAGCATCTCATATGGTCCCCTGAGCACCGCCAGGAGTGACTCCTGAGTACAGAGCCAGGAGTAACCCCTGTGCATCACCAGGTGTGACCCAAAAAAGCAAAAAAAAAAAAAAAAAAAAAAAAAAGGAAAACAATCAAAATTCTTGTAAAAATGGTGGCTATTTTATATCAATAAATTTTCTAAATGCCAAAAAGAAAAGATGCTTTTCTAGGAAAATTAGCTGGATCCTAACTCAAGACATGGTAGGGCATAAAATACATTTTGAAGCTGAGTCCTTTGTCTGTAAAACGGAATTCTAGTGTCAAAGTGTCCAAGAGTGCATGACTCAGGACAAAAGCTACACAGGGGTCACCAGCCACTGGCACAAGAAGCTGCCCCACAAGGTCCATTGCGGGCCACACAAGGTCACCCGTCTCGGAGCCTGGCATCCTGCCCAGGTGACATTCTTTGTGGCAAGGACTAGGCAGAAAGCTATCATCACCACACAGAACAGGAGGATTTACAAGATAGGTCAGATTAACAGATCAAAGATGACAAACTAACAACCATGGCTGCTTCCAGATGGTGGAGGAGAAGAAAGTTTTCAGGGACCACTTCAGAAGAGCCAGATTACCAAGTTGGAAAACACTTGGAAGCCAAAAGAGATACCGTAGGCTGGTGGGTTTGCAATAAACCTTATTTTCCAGAAGAGGAAAAATAAAAGTGTACAAGAGGATATCACTTTACTGGGAGTCATTCATTTTTGTTTGTTCTGGTGCAGGATCATAAGAGGACCTAAATAACACCATTGTTAAAAGCCAGGAAAAAAAGAAAATGGTATAGGATGTTTTGTTTGACAGAAGAACCTTGTTCACATAAGTGTACTATCATTTACAAGTGTACCATCATTTTAAATCCATTTTAGATAGATGTCTAAATTCTCCTAGTTCTTAATATTACACTGGGGTCCAAAGTACATCGTATGTCTAGAGTCACAAAAATTTGTGGAAACAAGAATCAGCAAGAACTTTATGGTAAAAATACGTAAAGCAAAACAACCTATCTTCCCTAAGAGCAGTCCGTGTTTTTAAAAATTATTAGCGTACATAATAAGTTCTTAATATCAATAAGTATATATGTTATTATTCTGAAATATATCATTTTTTAAAAGTTAAGACAAAAGCTGTCCAGAAAAAGAATAATTTTGTACATTCTTAAGAAGCCATGTAGGGCTAGGGATATGGTAAAGTACACACCTCATTTGTTAGACCCTGGGTTTCCTTTTAAAATAAAAAAGCCATATAATTTCCTGTGTATTTTAATTGCCCTCCATTTCTTATCTAGTACAAAGAAACTGGGTATCATAAGTTGAAGTCTATTAGAATATTTACTTCCTCTATATAAAATTGGTATGCCCAGGGCTTACTCCTAGCTCTGTGCTCAGGGGTTTCTTCTGGTGGTTCTTGAGGAACTATATGTGGTACCAAGGGTTAGCAGTATTCAACACAAGTGCCTTATCTCAGGCCCAAAAGGAGGGCGCATTTGGGTGAGTGAATGACTGCTGATCACCTCAAGTTGCCAGATTTGGTGATAAATCTTAACTTTTTTTAATTTTAATTTTGTTTTTGTTTTGAGTTTTTTTTTTGGGGGGGGGGGTCACACCTAGTAATGCACAGGGGTTACTCCTGGCTCTGCATTCAGGAATTACTCCTGGTGGTGCTCAGGGGACCAATGGGATGCTGGGAAACAAACCCAGGTTGGCCACGTGCAAGGCAAATGCCCTAGGTGCTGTACTATCGCTCCAGCCCCTAAACCTTAACTCTTAAGAGGGGACATACTAAAGGAAGAAAGGGAAGGGGAGTCTTGCAGGAGGGAAAAGCTTAAGAAAAAAAATATTGTTGCATTGGAGATCAAGCCTAGGACCTCACATATACCTGGGCAGACGACATGAACTTTTGATAGTCACAAGGTCAAGTGTCTTGTCAACAAAATTGTATGTGTTTCATTCTTCAGTGAATTTATCCAACTCCCACTGAAGTGCAGCTTTTGTCTTTTCAATTTCCAAGAAAAATATTCTGGTTTTCTTATTACCCAAAGGTGTGTGTGTGAGGATTTATTATCTATTTCCCACCCATACTGCTTAAATGCAGTCCATTTATTCTTCACAATGTAGTTATATTACATTTATATATTATATAATATATTACATTTATTTAATCACTTTTGTCACCTGGGCTGTATCTGCATGTTTTTATTGCCAGTCTCTCCACTTCC